AGTGAATGACTTCCTACCACCTGCTGTGCCCCTTACAGCCACCAGGAGTCATAGGACAAGTCCATGGCAGGGCTTCTATTCAGAACCAGGCAAGATTGAATTTGAATCCACATCCCTTGTTGTGTGTCCTTGGGCAAGATGCTCAGCCTCTCTGAGCCCATTTTTCCATTTTTGAAGTGGTGACATATAGGACGGATGGAAGGATTCTTTGAGGCAAGAACCTAAAGCATCTGACCCAGAGCCGACTCATCAAGGTGCTCAGGAACACTGGAGTTTGGTGGAATCACGGGGCTCCTTCCCAGGGGAGGGCTGCCGAGAGCAGGTGAAAGCAGCTGGGCCTCATCCCCTTCCCTCCTGTGACATGTCTGGCAGGATGGGCACTGCACTGCCTTCTAGGGGCAGAAACTGGGTAGGCTGGGGCTGCTCCAGGTTCTGGCCCAGGTCCTGGAGGCTTCTGGAAAGGCCACCCCCGCCCCCTTATTGTCTCTCCTCTCCCAAGTCCAGCAGCTGGGTCAGGCCCGCTGGCCTGAATGCCTGGGCTGACTCAAAAGAGGCCTGCTGACACCGCCAAGCGTCCCCCCCCCGCCCCGCCCAGGTCCTCCAGGCCACAGTCCCAGTTGACCCAAGACTAAGACCTGAGTCAGCGAAGTGGGCAGAGTCAAGGCCCAGAGCCTTCTCCTCAGGCCCGAGGCCCAGGCCAGCTGGTCTTGCCTGCTGCACGACACCTGCCTCTCCCGACAGAGGGGGGGTCCTCTGGGGTAGGACCTGGGATCTCTCAGAGCCAGCTAGCTACCTGCCAGTTGGATCATGCCTTGAACCCCTGACCCTGCACGCCCAGCCCTGGGCAGTCTGCTAAGGAGCCAGGGAAGGAGCCGGTAGTCTCTCTCCTGGACCTGGGAACAGCAGGGGGAGCTGGGCCAGAGTCAGGGCTGGAGGACCCAGAGGGTAAGCACCAGAGATGGCTTCCTGGTAAAGGAAGAAAAATCTGTGGGTGCAGAGGAGCAAGGACCTGGGGATTAGAGGGAAGTCAGGCATTCTTCATGAGGAGCCGCCCACTGAGGGAGCAAAATGTATTGGCTCATTTCACAGATGAGGCCAGTAGAGTCTGGAAGGAGCAAGAAGTATACTTAAGGGGGCAGGCGTGGTAGCTCATGCCCGTAATCCCAGCAGCTGGGGAGGCTGAGGCTGGAGGATCACAGGTTCGAGGCCAGCCTCAGCAACTTAGTGAGACTGTAAGCAACCTAGAGAGACCCTGTTTCTAAAAAAAAAAAAAAAAAAAAAAAAGGGCTGGGATGTCGCTCAGTGGTCAGGCGCCCCTGAGTACAACCCCTGGTACCAAAAGAAGAAGAAAATGACAATGACTTAAGGGGCTGGAGATCTGAAGCATAGCTGGAGCCACATCGTTGGGACCAGCAGTGTTCAGGCTAAGGAGGGGGTGATGGGAGCCAGGGGTGGGGGGGAGCAGAAAGGAGGCCTCAAAGCCCCGGGCGGGAGGAGTTTGTCTTTGCCCTTCCCTGGCCCTTCACATAGCGAGGGACCGGGAAGCCTTGGGGAAGACTTTGGGGTCACAGAAGGGCCCCCGTAGATGGTGATGGCTCCTCAAGGCCCGGCCTCCACCCCCGCAGCTCTGGGAGGCTGGGGAGGAGGGGCCGCCCCAGCCCCTCTAATAGATTCCTCTTTGATCATGTTTTTGTGACCTTTGTAAAAGGCAATTTAAATTCTAATTGTCCTGTGAGTACCAAAGGAATCAATTAGAGACAAGAGCCGCTAATTGTGCGGGGGAGGCAGGGGGTGCAGTGGGGAACAGGCGCCCCACGCCCCAGCGCCCGCCTGGAGCCTCCAATCCGTCTCTCCTTCCTAGTCTGGGATGGAGGTTGCCAGGGTCCTCCCCGCCCAGGCAGGCTCCCCAGGCCAGGGCGCAGGGCTGAGGGGACCACGGTCCCGGCCCCACAGGCCACACCTGCCCGAGGCTGAGGAAGCCGTGGCCATCCCTGCAGCAGCATCTCCCGCACCCCCTCTGCTGCCCCTGCCCTCCCCCTTGGGGCTGTGGCTGTCCCTCCCACCAGTGGCCCCTGAGGAGGCAGGCAGCCTCACCTCACACAGGACAGGCACACACTGGGCACGTCCTCACGGCAGGGCCAGCTGCGCGGTGGACTCGCTCTTTATTCCTGGTGTTTAGAGCTGGGCTGGGGACGGCAGATGGTGCTCCTTGCTCTGCTCTTCCTTGCAGGGGTCCTGCGAGGTTCAGAGGGACAGTGGTCATGAGCAGGGTGCCTCAGTCTGGCCTTCAAGGCCACTGTCAAGGCCCTCGCCCATTCCCAGGCCTGGGCCCCCTTAGCCAGGCAGCACCCCTGGTTCCTAGGTCCCTGGGGCTCAGTCATAGCTCTGCTCACAGAAAAGATCAGGCCTCAAAAAAGCCTCAGGCCTCTCCACTCCAACTGTTCCTGAGCCTCAGAAGTCTCTCTTTGGTGTGGATGATAATAGGTTATCACATGTCATTCTCTCTAGTTTTTTGTTACCAGGGATTAAACTCAGGGGCACTCGACCATTGAGCCTCATCCCCAGCCCTATTTTGTACTTTATTTAAAGACAGGGTCTCACTGAGTTGCTTAGCACCTTTCCCTTGCTGAGGCTGCCTTTGAATTTGCAGTCCTCCTGCCTCAGCCTCCTGAGCCGCTGGGCTTACAGGCATGTGCCACCGTGTCCGGCAACATGTCATTCTCTCGTAAGGATGAAATGACATAATATATGTAAAGTCCCCAGAGTAGGGTTTGGTACACAGTCAGCACTCAATAAATGCTATTCATCACAAACATCCATCATCCCCTCCATGAGTCCATCTCACCTACTTTCCCCCAATACTACATACGAAGCATGTGTTAGGATCGTCTCTCCACAGTCTCTCCACAGACAAGCACCCCCCAAGAGCAGGAATGTAAAGCTTGCCCCATGACCCAGGACAAAATAGACACCAATTAATTGTCGTTATTCTGTACTGATTCCCTACAGTCTGAATGCAGGACTCCCTGGGCTCTTCACACAGGGTCAGCCACGTATGCATCCCTGAGCAAAGCAATAGCAACATCTCACCTGGCTCAGTCACTCACTCAGGACACTCCAGGGAGGAGAAAGGGGAATGGGAACAAGAAGGCCTTACCTCAGAACCTCTAGCTGCAGAGCCCAGAAAAACCTGTTCCCATGGCCTGTGGCCAGGACCAGGGCTCAGTATGTAGCCAGGACCAGGGCTCAGTATGTAGCCAGGAACAGGGCTCAGTATGTAGCCAGGATCAGGGCTCAGTATGTGACCAGAACTAGGCTTAGTGTGTAAACCAGCTCAAAACTCAATCTGTTACCAAGGTTGGGATTTAGTTCCGAATCTGATCCTCAATCTCCTTCTTTTCCTATTTGACAAGCAGGCATGTGGCCTGACTCTCAGATTTTTCCAGGCAGACAAGTACGAATTGTTGAGTTTGAATGCCATAACTTCCTCTCTCCCACATCCTCCTGGTTATCTGAAAGGTGTTTTTGTTTTGGTTTGGTTTGTTCTTTTTGTACCAGGGATTGAACCCAGGGGTGTTTAACCACTGAGCCACATCCCCAGCCTGAGCTGCTGAGGCTGCAGACCTCCTGCCTCAGCCTCCCAAGCCTCCAGGATTACACACGTGTGTGCCACCGCACCCAGCTCGATGTGTGTTTGACCAGAAGAGCATCTTGGCTGCTGGTGTGAAGGTGCTGCCGGGATCCTTGCAACACTTATGACCCATGTCCTGAGAGCAGGGCCACCAGCTGGCTGCGGCAATGTGGACCAATCATCTGCCTTCCTCAGGCCCCCCTTTCTCCTGAAAGCCCCTGGAGACACCTCACCGTCAACCTTACATGATGCACACTCCCTGAAAGCCTGGTCCTCCCTGATGTCATCAGGATCAGCCAAAGGTACTTGGTGGGCACTGGCCTGGATCTCCTTGGGAAATCGACCTGAATGTTTTCTCTCTGAGATTTAAGCTGCCACCTCGCAGCCCCCGTCTCCACTGTATCCCTGTCCATCATGCTCCCAACTGCAACCAGAGTGGCTCTTCTAGTGTGAATCTGGCCATGTCACTTCCCAACTGGACCTACAGGGAGCTCAGGGAAGAAGACTGAGCAGCCCTCTGGGCTCCTGTGCTTTGCAACCGTGAGGGAGGGGGCTCTCCAGCAGAGTGGAGGCCAAGTGAAGACAGAGGGGTCAAAGCCCAACCCTTAGATTCTTTTGGGATTTTTTGGTACCAAGAATTGAACCCAGGGGTGCTTAACCACTGAGCCACTGCCCCAGCCCTTTTTTAATATCTTACTTAGAGACAGGGTCTTGCTGAGTTGGTAGGACCTTGGTAAATTGCTGAGGCTGGCTTTGAACTTGCGATCCTCCTACTTCAGCCTCCTGTTCCTGTCGCTGGGATCACAGGCATGTGCCACCACGCAGGCTCCAACACTTAGATTCTTAAGGGAGTGAGGGGAGACACCTGCAAAGGAAAGTGAGGCATGAAGGGAAAACCAGCAGCCAGTGCATATCATGGAAGCTGCAGGAAAACAAGAGAAGAGGCCAGTTCACTCCCTCACTGAGTTTGGCAACTTGGAAGTTGCTGGTGACCTCAGTGAGGCTAGTGATCTCAGGAACAAAGGAGAGGGTAGGAAATCAGAGACGGGCAGTGAAGGCAAACAACTCTTTCAAGAAGCAGAACTGGGACAAGACTAGCCATGGCAGAGCAGGGGGGGAGCAGAAGTCAAGGCCCAAGCACCCTCAGCCTGGGTGCTGTCCCACACCTGGACCACTGTCCCCACCCTACCTCTCCACACCTGGCTCCCAACACTTGCTCTTTAAGACTAGTGCTGGGGGAGGTGGGAGGGCCGGACATAAAATAGATGGTCAAGTTCAGAGGAGAGAGGTCCAGAGGCAGTCCAGACTAGCTCAAGGTCAACCAAACCAGCTCAAGGTCATCCATAGCCAGCCAGTTCCAGGGCAGGGATGCAGGTCTCCCAGCTCCTGCTCCCCTGTTCCCCATCTTTGGGTTGGTAGTCTTTGCTTCCCGGGCCTCAGGAGGAAGGGGGAGGCAGGAGGGAGCGGGAGGGGTGGAGGACGGAGGCTCCTTAGGCTGTGAGGAGCCGAGCGGGCTCTAACAGGGAGGCACTGTTCATTCAGCCAGGGTGCCATCAAGGTCCAGAGCTGGGAATCCGTGACAGTTCCAGGTCCCAGACCTGCCTCCACCTTGCCAAGCGACGCGGGGCTCTTCCCTGTCATATTGAAGCTTCTGAGCCCCCATTTGTGACCAGACGAAGGTAAACCAGCTGCCCCGAGGGCCTTCCTGCCACTTCTCTGAGAGGTGAGAGGCAGGGTCCGCCACCGCTTCTCGGGAGCCAGGGCAGGGCCGGAGCCCGGGAGCAGGAGCGAGGCTGCGCACGTCCTGGCCCTGCTGTCTTGTGTGGAGGACACGAGGACACGGCTGTGAAATGTAAGTAAAAGCCAGGGCTAATTTCCTCGGTCAGAAGGAGGAGGCACCGCGGCGTTTTCAAACCCTAATTAAAGCCGCTCGGGCAGCGTAACACCAAAATCAGCTCCAAGATCAATATTGCTATTCATTTAGAAGTGTAACGAGGTTAGAGAGGTGAGCAAAGGAAATAATTAACTCATTTGCAGCCTTTTTAAACAGAAACAGTCATTTTAATCTCCAGGGTAATTAGCTATGCTCTGTCCATCAATCATGACGGTGGCCATTATTTTAAATATTTGATTCATCAAGGAAGGAGGGGTTACAGTACCCCGCCTAGCCCCCAACACTGGCCCCAACACTGGAATGGCACCTGGGCGGGCAGGAGGAGCACCTCTCTCAGGGGCATTCTAGGCCAGCACCCACCCAGAGGGACTGGTGGGAGGGGCTGGCCACACAGGCGTCCCCAGGTGGGCAGGTCTGCAGGTACAGGAACAATTCTCTCTCCAAGCTTGGATCCTGCGAGATGACAGGCCCTGCCTTAGACTTGGAAGCCTTAGGGACCTGGAACAGAATGTGCCAGGCGCTACTGATAACTCGCTAAGACCCGGCCACCTTCTCTGTCAGTCCTGGGTCGTGTTGGATGCCAGTGGAATTAGACAGTTCACTGGTTCCAAGTGCCCAGGGGCCTCCGGCCACTGGAGGGCAGCAGAACCCCAGGGACCCCTGAGCCCAAGGGCTGGGCTGTCCAGAAGAGGGCGGCGGCTGAGCCGGAGCTTGTGCCCTTTGGAAAAGGCTCAGCTGCTCCTGATGGGAAGTCTCCTCTGGCACCACCTCTGAGGCCGACTGCGGCCGATAGGCAGATAGCAATTGCTGTCCCCATTTAGCAGGTGAAAATTGAGGCCTCTGAGAGGGTCAGGACCTCCCCAGTCCTCATGACCCGTGCTCAGCCCTTATTCCAGGTTGCCATGGCTCAGTCCTGAGACTTAAAGAGGGGACGTTGTGGCAGGAGGAGGACAAAGGTGACCCAACTGTCCTCTGCCACGTCCAACTGCCCAAACTTTGTCATCCTCACCAGACAAAAGGATCCCCCAAACCACTGGCCCATCCCCTCACATTCCAGATGGGAAAACTGAGGCTCATGGAGAGACAGATTATTGCTCTACGGATCTTCTCATTATTTTGTAAGCACAGAATTTCTGACCTAAGGACCTTCTGATACATTAGGAGGAAACCTTGTAAACAGACGGTGAACACTGAGTGGGCTGGGAGAGCTGCAAGACAGGTCAGGGCAGGGGCCAGGGAGCCCAGCAGAGGAACACACACTGGGCAATTAGGGCAGGCTTCCTGGAGGAGGGGGCCTCAGCTGAATCACAACAAAAGGCAGAGAAGAGCATTTCCGACAGGAGGAGGCACAGAGAAGAGGGCAAGGAGGCCAAGGAGGTAGGAGTCGGGCATGGGGGACCACAGGCCATGGCAGGAGACTGGAATGGGAAAAGGGACAGGCTTGGAGGGTGGTCATGAGCTTGAGCTGAGGGATCCAGAAGTTGAACCTAAGAGTGTTGCAGCATGGGGCGTCACTGCCCTGCTGAGCCCCCATCTGTCTGCTCTGAAGCAGCTGCCTAGTAGACACGCCCTCTGAGGTCAGTGATATCACTGCACCATCCTTAGTGCTGTCCCCCTTTCTCGGGCCAGGTGAGGAAAGTCTGGGCTGGCAGAGGTGGGGAGAAGGTCCTGGGAGTTCTGGGCACAGGGAAAGGAGAGAGGATGAGAGGGACCGCCAGGTCAGCCATCAGCTGACCCTCACAGCCCTCCTTTTCAAGACTGGCTGGGTCAGGGCAGCCGGTCCTCTCTGCCCTGTGCCAGAACAGCACCGAAGACTCTTCTTGTATGCCTCCAGCTCTGGGGAGCTCACCCCTCAAACAGCTGTCATGGGGAGAAGTTCCCGTGGCTGTTGAGTGCCCTCTGTTCTCTGTCGTCACTGGCTCTGTCCCTGGGATCCCCCGAGAGCCTGCTTCAGAGTCTTCTTGGGCCATCCCTTGGACCTGCGGGACTGGATCCGCTGGGCAGGAAAGAGAACAAGACCGTCAGTCACTGAGGAGCCACCCAGAAAGGCCAGGGAGCTTGGGTGGGTGGCCCAGCTGGCACAGAGTTTGTGGGGAGCCTTCTGATCCTCCAGATTGAGGGAGGGAAGGAAGGATGGCAAAAGGGAAGCAGAAGGAGGAAGAAGAGGAGGGGGGAGGAGGATCCTGCTCAGGCCAGGAGCTCGGTTGCTAAGGGCAACGGCATTGCATTCCAAGGAGGAACCAGATGCTGAGGAGGGCGATGGGAGCTGGGTCCAGACTACAGATCTACAGACCAGGGCTCTGAGGGCTTGGGGTGGGGGTGCCAGGCAGCCAGGACCCCAGGAGGCCAGCGTGTTTGTGGAGCCTGGCAGGCGATCTGCGGTGGCGGTGCTGACCCCAGGGCCCAGAGGCAGGCATTAAGAGTGGGAGAAGGGGCGGAGGGCTGGCCAGCCACATTTGTAAGCTTCCCACAGCCGCTCTCAGGGCTACAATTTGTCTGGGACTCCAGAGTTCAAGCAGATGGGAGGCTGGGGCTGGGGCAGGGCTGAGGAGGAATGCTTAATCCAGCACCGGTGATCAAACCCAGGCCTCCCGGAGCCCTGCTGGATCACCAGCCTGCACTCCCCACCTTCCTGCCCGGATCCTGGGGAAGAACAGGCAGTTGCAGAAAAAATACAAGCTGAAAAGACTGGGGTCCTCTGGGGCTTTGGATCACTCCCAGCCCCTTTGAGATCATTTTCTGTGTCTATAAAGTGGTAAAATAACCTTGTCCTTGGATATACTTATCAACAGTTAAGTCTATACACATGTATAGACTTAACTGTTGATAAGTATATTTTTATTATCATGAGGGTCCCTGGTCAAGATAATAAAAATAAAGGAGAAAAAAAATGATAAAAGGAAGGGCAGTTCCATTCACCTTGCATTTACTCTGCACCAGGAGGGATCTGTGCTCCCATTTTCCAGATCAGCAAAACGGAGGCTTAGAGAGTTCTGGGAACTAAACAGAAAACTCCAAAGTCCTCCTCACCTCTTGAAGTTGCTCCCACCAAGACCTCCCTGAGGTTGCCCTGGGGTGGGGGGTAACCCCCCAGACCCAGACTCCAAGGTTGAAGCCTCCTCCCCAAAGTCCCCAAATCCCCAACTCCATCCCCCCTTTCAAAGCATCCACCACTACTCAACAGACTCAGCCTCCTCGGCCTAACCAGTCGGCCAGGTAGTCATCCCTCCCCATCCCAGCATTTAAGTCCCCACCCCATATCCTGTCATGTCCTTGTCCCTGACACATGCCCACAGCTGGCCTGCTTGCTTCCTGCCCGTTCCAGCTACTATTATTATACTGTAAGAAGTGCAGCCCCACCCCAAATGTACTGGCCTAAATCAGTGACCATTCCACTATACTCATGGATTCTAGAGGCCAGACAATTGGACAGGATACAGGGAGCCTGCTGCACAGTGTTGGTGGTGGGGCTCAATATCTGGAGTCAAGAACCATCCAGAAAGCCCAGCGCAGTGGTGCATGCCCGTAATCCCAACTGCTCCGGAGGCTGAGGCAGGAGGATCCAGCCTCAACTGGATTTCCAGTTGAAATCAGCCTCAGCAACTTAGTGAGGCCCCAAGCAATCTAGCCAGACCCAGTCTCTAAATACAACATTAAAAGGTCTGGGCAGGTGGCTCAGTGGTTAAGCACCCCTGGGTTCAATCCAAGTAACAACAAAAAGTATCCAGAGGCTGGCTCATTCAGACCTGGCAGTTGATGCTGGTGTGGGTGGGAGCCAGGCCAGGGCTGCCAACCAGAACCACATGCACACCACCCATGCCTGAGGTGGCCTCCTCAGGGCATGGTGGTCAGTTTGATAGGACACCTTACATGTTGGCTTAGGGCTGCCAGGGTGTCTAGATGGGGTAGAAACTGCATTCCATCTTATGACCCAACCTCAGAAGTCCTAGTTGTCATCTCTGCCAAAGTCTATTGGCCAAAGCAGTCACGGCCCATCCAGACCCACCTCCAGGCGCAGGGCCCAGGTCACACGGCAGGAGAGCCTGTGGGCCAAGAGAGACGGCTGTGTCCCTTTTTGGAAAACACCAGCCTCCCTGTTGCCTTCATTGCTATGATGAAAGCCCTGCCCACCCCCTTCCCTGAGCCCTGTGCCCTCCTGCCCGACACTGCCCTGTCTCCTGCAGGATCCCTGCGAGATGCAGAGCTACAGCTTCCACACCCAAGGACCAAGGAATGAACCTCAACCCGGCGTGTCATGCCTCCCAAGGAACCCCTGGCTCCCTCCCCCTTCCTGGGGACACTGCCTTCCCAGCTTCTTCTCTCTGGGCCACTACCTCATCTGGGCTTCCCAGGGCCCCAGCAACCTCTGGATTACCCTCTGGAGACTTGTACCCCACCGACTTGCTGGTGACCACGCAGTCAGTAGTTCCAGCCCAACACTCCCAAAGGACTCACTCACTTGAGGGCTCTCCATCTCCTCTTCCACGGGCCTGTCCCACCCCCCTTCACTCTCCTCCTCCTCTGGGGCAGCTCTGGTCACCCTGGCACTCAAGCCAGAGGCCCTCTCTCCAGCACCCAGCCAACCCACTCCACTCCAGGTCCTCTGGGCTCACCCGAGGCCAGCCCTCCCCCTGCCTCTGCTCTCCCTGGGGCTGCCGCCTCCCTGCGGCTCTCCTCCCAGCCATCCCCGAGCTCTGCCTCACCTGGAAGCCTGACCTTGCCTCTCCCCTGAAACCCTTCCAAGACTCCCGCATTCAGCACAAAACCCCAGTTCCTGCCAACACATGCAGAGGCTCTGGCTGCCATTTGAGCTCTTCCCTCCTGTCTGGCTTCATTTATCACTGTCCCCCTCCTCACACCTGTGCTCAGGGCTCCAGTCCCCGGAGCAGGCTGCCTCTCTCTTTCAGAGCCTTCCTAAGCTGCTCCCTGGAAAGGACCACTTCTCGGGGCCCTTGCCCACAGAAATTCTGTTCACCTTCTTAGCACTGTCCCTAGACTTTTCTGTGACAATGGAGATGTTCATGTCCTGTCTCTCATAAAGGACATGGTAGCCACAGCCTGCTTGAAATGTGGCCAGTGTGGCTGAAGAACTGACTTGCAATTTTTTTTCAATTAATTTAAATGTAAATGGCCACATGTGGCTAGTGGTCACTGTTTCCGGTAGTGCAGCTCCAACGTCCATCTCTTCCTGGAAGCCCTGCCTGACCCTCCACACCTGGCCAGATGCCTCTTTTCTATGTTCCCAGGGTGCTGTGGTCTTTAAGGTGTTTATTTACGGTTTCTCTTCACTGGCCTGAATTCTTTTGGGGCCATCTCTCTTTCTTTTTGCTTTCTTTTTTCTTGTTGGGCCCTGGGCATAAACCCAGGGCCACTTAATCACTGAGCAATATCCCCAGCCCATTTTATTTTTTATTTTGAGACGAGGTCTCCTCCAGTAGCTTAGAGCCTTGCTAAATTGCTGAGGCTGATCTTGAACTTGCAAACCTCCTGCCTCTGTCTCCCAAGTCACTGGGATTCCAGGCATGTGCCACTGCGCCTGGCCTAGGGGCCACCTCCTATTCCTCCCGGTGTCACCAACTACAGGCCTTAGTGAGTGCTCAATAGCTACACAAGGTGAGTGAATATTCTGAACCTAGATCTAGGCATGAACTGGACTTCCCATGAGGACCAAATCCAAAACGGTTCTGCTGAAGATCCGAGTAACCGTGTGCTCATACACACATGTCCGCGAGCTCACCCGTGCAGGCCCCTACCCCGCTGGGGCCGGTTGTCTCACACACACGCTGGCGCCCCGGGCTGGACAGGAAGCGCGCCTCTGAATTGGCCTTTATGAACATCAAACCCTGTTTCATTCTTGTTTCTAAGATGCTTCATCTGCATTGCAGATGAATCTCCAGGGAATTTACAAAGAGATGCTTCCAATCCTCTGCCGTGGACCACCTGCCCCCTCCGCTCCATGGTCCACAAAGTAGCCCTTGCAAGTACAAGGGAAATCTGCCCTTTTATTATTATTATTATTTTAATTTTTTTGGAACGGGGGTTGAAGCCAGGCCACTCTGCCATGGGGTCACATCCCCGACCTTTTTTTTTTTTTTCCATTTTGAGACTGGGTCTTGGTAAATTGCTGAGGCTGCCTTTGAACTTGTGATTCTCCTGCCTCAGCCTCCCAAACCACTGGGATTACAGGCGTGAACCTCGGCCCCCAGATCATTTCTTGTTTTTTGATGTTCTTGCTCAGGTTTTGATAGCGAGTGTCCTTCAGATGAGGTCTCAGGCTTGTTTTTCCCCACACATCTCCTCCCCCCTCTTCTCCTGCCCTGGCTCCCCCATTTCTGCTGGAACATGGTTATCCACCACCCCCAATCTAGGACAGTCCTGCCAGAAGGGTAAGCTTCTGGGGCTGGAAAGAGGAAGAAGGCATGGATCTTGCCCACAAGGAGTTTCAGCAGGAGAGAGCGAGTTGTCATTCTGTCCTCTCCTTAATCCCCTACAATGTCCTTACCAAGCAGAACCCTGGAGTTCCCGCTCTGATGTCATTCCCACTGCACAGTCAGGGTGACCGAGGTCTGGGGAATGGACTGGACTCGCCACAACAGAACAGGGAAGAGGGCCCTCAAGCCCCCATCCTCAGTCTGGGGTTCTGGATATCATGTCCCCCCACCCCCTGCACCCCACCTGCCTTTCCTCCACCAGGCTGCCGTACCAGGGGCTCCTTGATTCCCCCTGGTATGGACTGGTGACTGGCTGCCCTCGGCTATGGTCCTCTTACTTAAGAAGTAATGGGATCACCCCTTGGCAAGGCAGTCCACGGCTCCCCCACAGGGTCACGGTCATTGCGCAGCCAGTCAGCAGTCACCTCGATGACTGCCATTGTGTTGAGTCCTTAAAATGGCATCATCGAAGGGACGCGTCAAGACCTTGCAGCTTGCAGTGGGACCCCACAGTGGACTGAGAGCAGGCCCCTTCGCAGAGGCAGAACCAGGGTGCCAGGTGTATGACTTAGCCTGAAGCTTCCAGAAAACTGAGGGGATAGGCTGGGGAGAGGGCAGAGAGAGGAGACCCTCTTTCCCCAAACAGCTCCCCCGGCTTGGTCCCCACATTAGCCCTCCCCTTCCTGGCCCAGCCTCCCTTTGATCATGCATGCCAGCTGACGCTCACAAGCACCCAAAGAAAGGAGCCAGTGTCTTCATTTCTTTTTTTTATATTTCTTTAAATTGTCAATGGTCACACTACCTTCATTTTATTTTTATGCAGTGCTGAGGCTCAAACCCAGTGCCTTCCACCTACGAGGTGAGCGCTTCACCACTGAGCTGCAATCCCAGTCCCTCTTCATTTGTTTTAATAATGAGGATGTTGGAAACGCGCTTTCCAGCCCCTGCCAGACATCAGGGAGTGGTCTCCCAGCACCCAGACCCAAGTCATACACGCGCTCTCTCACATATACACAGTGGGCCTTGGGAAAGTCTCCATGCCAATCAAACTTGGGAAGTGTGCTCTAGTATGTCCCCTACGTGGTAGTTTCCAAAACTGGTTAGCATTTAAAGGCTAAAGCATTTGGGGAGTCCTGCAAGAAGAACTCTGCTTAACCTGGCATTTCCCAAGCTTATGTGACCGTATTCTTTTTTAGGAAGACCTTTGGCTCTCTCAGAAATTACTTCTTGCCTGCTGGTAGGAGAGATCCGACCACAGCAACCTAAGCATATCTGGAGGTCATCAGCCCAGGGTGGCTCCACCATGTCACCAATATCCCAAACTCTTCCTTTCTTTAGAACTCATCTCAGCGTTGCTGTCTAGCTCAGGTCACCTCACGGTCCAAAATGGCTCCATCCTGTCTGCATTCCGGGCAAGAAGCAAGAAGTGGGTGAGTGGGAAGATCCCGTGCTCTCTGCCTCTCTATTACGGAACTTTCCCAGAAATCCTCTCCAGTTCCTTTGTCCACATCTCCTTGGCCACCTGGCTGTATGGGAAACTGGGAAACGAAAATCTAGTCTTTTAGGTGGAATAGGAAAAAGCGGAGAGTGAGGACTAGGTAGATAAGGGCAGCCTGGGTCACTGCTTCTTTGTATTGTTCTATATAAAACTGGTTGGAATCAGGAAGGGCTGGATTCAACCCCTATTTACAGACTGTGTGGCCTTGGATAAGCTGCTCTCCCCCACCCCTAGTACTAAGTGGGGACTGAGACCAGATGTGCAGTCGTGCCACTGAGCTACATCCCGGCCCTTTTCATTTTGAGATAGGGCCTCACTAAGTAGCTTAGAACCTCACTAAGTTGCTGAGGCTGGCTTAGAACTTGTGATCCTCTTGAGTGGCTGGGATTACAGGTGTGGGCCACTGTACCTGGTTTAGATATGCGTCTTAGCCTCTCTGAGTCACTGTTCTTGCCTTTAAATAGTGATATGGCGAGGACCAAATTAGATAAAATATGTGCTAGCAGTTTAGAAAATGTAAAATGATATAAAATGAAAGGTCTTCTTATTTTAATTTACTCCTCTAAATAGCCCTTTGAAGCAGGCAGGGCAATACCTATTACTAGTACTTTTAACTAAAAAAGAAACCGAGGTTTAGAATTGACTTGTCTGACGATGAAATCTGTGTCCTTTTTTTTTTTTTTTTTTTGTGTGTGTGTGTGTGTGTGTGGTGCTGGGGACTGAACCCAGGGCCCTGTGGAGGCCAGCACTCTACCAACTCAGCTACACCCCCAGCCCTGGGTCCTGTTTTTGTGCACAGAGTGAAACTTGACCCAGCCTGAGCCTGAGCCCTGAGTCTTGATCCGGGCCTGAGTTTAAGTTCTGACCTGAGTTTAGACTGAACCCTGATGCTGTTTAGAGAGGGAACTTTTATTTTCCCCTCCTGCCAATCTAAGCCCTGATCTTGGGCTCTGACCTCTAATAAACACAGAGGCCCTCTTGAACCATCCAGCAGCCCCAAAAGGTGTGCCCTGGGCTCCATGAGGGTGTAGGAGGTGATGCTGATCCCCAGGCCTGAAGTACTGTCCTCCCAGGGGAGGGAGCCTCCTCCCACATCTCCACCATTCATCCAGACCTTGCAAAATAGGGGAGACAACAAGCCCTGTCTGTAGACCCTGGGAGAAAGAGGCAAGTGGGTGCCGGAGAAGCAGGAGGTGCACCTGGCCTGCTTCCCCCTAGTAATTTTCCCAGCCCAGACAGCTGTAATGGGGAAGGTATTGAAATTTAAATCAGAGCCCGGCCTAACCTCTCTGCCTTCTCCGCGGCTCGCCCGCCACCGCTGCTGCCTGTAATCTCAGGCTGGCTATCTCCTCCTGGGGAGAACGACAAACCGACTCGGGAAAGTGATAAATTTTCAATTTTATTTTAAAATATACCAGATGGGAGATTTTATTGGAGCCATAAATATGTCAAGAGCAATGTTGGTGTGCGATGGGCGATGCCCCCTCCTCCGGGCCTCTCTCCCTGTTTAGAAATTCCATCAGATTCTTAATAAGAGGCTCCTGTTCGTCGGCAGCAAAATAGTCTCTATATTAAAGCAATTGAATTTCCATTTGCCAGACATCTTGTGCTTTAAGCTTCCAGGTTCCAGGGGTGTGGGGTTGCTAAGCCGATTCTAAATGAACCTAAACTAATAACTGCACAGCACGCTGGGGGCCGTGAGGCAGTGGGAGGGGGAGGCGGAACCGGAGGGGAACGGGAAGGGAACGAGAAAGGAACGAGAGAGGAGGCGCCACCAATTGTGGACATCGGGGCGGGGAAAGGAAGGGCCACCCTCTCTCCTCCTCCTCCGGCTGCCAGCCTGGGGTGACAATTCTGCAAATGACTGAAGAGCCAACCCTCTCCATGCACAACAGGGAAACTGAGGCTGGGCCACGTGGCTGGAATGCAAGTCCCTCTTCCCTCATCTCCTTTTGTTCCCACCTTCATGGATTTGACATGGGCTGTGCCCCAGCCCTCGTATTTGCCTCATTTCACACCAGCCAACCCCCCCACCTTGCCCCCAGCATCCTTCTATCAAGTCTTTCTTTGCTCCCCTAAAGATCTCTTTTACTCCACGTTAGCATCCGGAACAGGAGAATGAGTGAGATCACAGGTTCAAGGACATCAGAGATGAGATGATTAGAGGTTAGGGAAAGTGAGGCGCAGAGAGAGAGAGAGAGAGAGAGAGAGAGAGAGAGAGAGAGAGAGAGAGAGAGAGAGAGAGAGAGAGAGAGAAAGCAGGGAACATAATTCTAGAACAATCCAGGGGGGATGCCTGTCAACAACCTGTCTACACAGCCTGCCTGGGAAACTTCAGCAGGGTCTCTGTGGTGCTTGCCTGGGTTTGGCACAATGTCCAGGACGTGGCAGGTAGCACCTCAACCAGAACAGCACCTGAGAGTGATCCTGCCCTCACTGAGCCGCTCTCTAAAATGGCCTGATCTTGGGCTCTGACTACTAAAAAACATAGAGGCTCTCTTGAACCATTCAGCAGCCCCATAAAGTGTCCACTGGGTTCCACAAGGGTGTGTGGGGGTGATGCTGATTCCCAGGTATACACTTCTAAATACCAAGGAGCAGCAAAAATAATGCTTATACCCCCAAATATGAGAGCTTAATGGAGATAATTCACAAATATTGTTTGGCAATATGCTGGCTTCCCTTAAGTGTTCCAAAAATGTTACCAATTACTCATGATTGATTTGACCTCCCTGGATGCCTCCAGTGGATGCCACATCATCTCCCCACGGGTCTGTGTCTCCAGGTCATCTGACCTAGGATTGGGTAGACAGCCACTGATTGGTTCAAAGAGTTGAGGGTTTTCCATCCATTAGATCAACGTAGGGAACTATGTTGATGCAAGCAGAGTAGATAAACCCTAGTTTTCACTTCCTTGCTTTGTGGGTTCCATGACCTCTCTGAGCCTCAGTTTCCTCATCTGTGAACTAGGTGAATAATCCTTTCCCTGCCTTTCTTTGGGGACTATCCCATGAACCAGAGCTGGAGAATCCATCCTTTGTTTTTTTGTTTTCTTTTAATGCTGAGGAGTAAACCCAAGGCCCCACACATGCTAGGTAAGTGCTCTGTCACCGAGCTACATCCCCAGATTTTTTTTTTTTTTTAATTTTTGGCCGTACTGAAAAATGAACCCAGGGGTGCTTTACCATTGAGATACATCACTAGCCATTTTTTAGAGTCTCACTACGTTGTTGAGAGTCTCCCTAAGTTTCTGAGACTGGCCTTAAACTTGAAATCCTCTGGCCTCAGCCACCCAAGAAGCTGGGATTACAGGTGTGTTAGCATGTGCTGCAGAGTACACCTTTCTCTCTCTGTCTCTTTGGCAATGGGGATCTAACCCTGGGGGTGGGGCACTTTACCTTTGAGGCACTTTCCCAGCCTTTTTTTTTTTTTTTTTCTTCTAATTTTTGAGACAGAGTCTCACTACGTTGCTGAGGGCCTCTCTGAGTCGCTGAGTTTTGGCTCAAACTTGACATCCTCCTGTCTCAACCTCCCAAGTCCCTGGGATTATGGTGGGTGAGCCACTGTGCCGAGCTGTGGACATTCTTAAACTGTCCTCCCAATCTTGCCAACCTGGGTCTTTCCCAGTGACTCTGTGGGAGACAGCATTCACCATCTGTCCCTGCCCCAACCTCCTCCAACCCAATTGTGAAAGTCCAAGGAGCTGAATGAGTGTCCCATTGACAAGGTCAGGGCAGTGAGCACCTGGTTTCACCCGGGATCTGGCGGTGAGATCTGATCGCGCAGCGGGATGGTTCAAGCAACAGGGCTCAAGGCCAGCCCCAGCCCCGGGCACCACCAGACCCTGACCACATCACCGGTTCCTGGGGGGTGGTATTTCCAGCCTCCCGACGTGGACAGGTGCTTTTCTTCCATTGATTTCATCCTCTTCTTCCAGGGTTTCCAGGCCCTAAAGTCGGGGAGAACCAGGAGCACAGGCCTCTACCCCGTGTCTGCCCCCACACCTGCTGGGGAGAAGGTGCAGGAGGGGGTGCGGCACACCTGAAAGCGCCTCTGTTGGACCTTCAGGGAGACCAAGGGCAGGATGGGAAGCTCCCTGGGGCCCCCAATGCCAGATGCACTGCTGGTGCTCGGTGAAGGGCGACTGGGGACTGTCACCCTTGGACCAGATCCCATCTCTCTCTGGAGCCAGCATCCACCCTGCTGGCCTCCAAGATCCCTGCCAGCTCTGCTGTCCTCCACTTCTGGGTGAACTCTGTCCTGCTTCCTCTGGGAGGAGGGGTGAAGTTGTTCCTTCCTGTTGACCCAGCAATGTCGGAACCTGGCAAACCTTTCCAGAAGGCTCACCAGGCCCGGTGCCACCTGCTTGAGGGGCTGAGTCTGCTCTGCTGCCCATTTCAGAGATGGAGAGAGAGGCTCAGGGAGGTCCAATGAGCATGGAGGTCACAGCCAGCAGATGTGGGCCGGATGGGGCAGAGAGCAGCAGGTGGGCCCTGTGGGCGGCACCTGCCCAGCCCTTTCCCAGAAACCACCTTCTGCAGTCCTTGGGGGAGTGGCACTGGCAAGTCAAGGCTCCGAGAGCTGGGGACTTCCCATAAGCCACACTGAAGGACAGAACAGACACCAGGCTCTAATCTCTATCTTCCAACACTCTCTTCCTTGGTCCCTAAACAAAGTTTCTATTCTGTGCTTTGGGAAGTGCTGGCCTCCACCCATCTATCTTATAGGTACTTACTGAGCACTGTGTAGTGCTGGGGAAAGATTCAATGGAGCCAAGCAAACAAAAGTCCCTGCTCTCCTAGTGGATGAGGAAGAGAAAACAACACAAATAAATTTGTCACAAAGTGTCAGAGGGGGATAAATCTGTGGACACCACAAAGCAGGCTCCTGAGGATGGGGGGTGGGCCAGAGGAGGCAGTTTAAAGTGGAGTGTTCAGGGCAGGCCTCTGGGAGCTGTGAAAGCTGAGCAGAGACTTGAAGGAGCCTGGACCTAGGGAGAGCACAGGGTCACCAGTGCAAAGGCCCTGGGGTGATGGTGGGCCCTGTGCTTCTTGTGCTTGAGGACAGTGGGGAGGTCCGAGTGACTATAGTAGAGTGAGCCGGGGTTGTGGGAGGCCGTGAGGTGGGAAGGGCCACGGGAATCATGTATGAAGGCTGTGGCGTAACAATTGCCATTGGAAAATGGGCCTCCTTGGGTTAATCTGAAGGTCTCTCAGATGGTGGCATTTTGGGGTCTTCACAGCTCCACAGCTGGGACCCGGTGAGATGGGGGTGGGGGTGGGGCACCTAGCCCTCTTCCCTTCTCCACACCTGCCCACCCCAGGCTGCCCTTCCCCCAGCTCACCAGGCAGAATGGAGGAGGAAGGTCAGGGAGGCCAGAGCCTGCCCCGACTGGGAGCTCTCTGGCTGCAAGTCTCTGCGGGTTTTGAAGCTGCCAGGCCGCAGGGGAGCTAAAACCCATTAGCAGGCAGAGGACAGCCTGGGGAGACCTCCAAAGCCACCTCCAGGAAGCCTGCAGCTAGGTTTGTGTGGGATTTAGGAAAGGCCCAGAGCCGGGCCCTACCCAGCCCCCAGGCCTGGCCCTGCCCTGCCCCAGGCCCCTCTCTGGAGGAAACTGAGGCCCAGGGAGGACTTGTCTCTGGCCACACAGCAGTTTAAGGCCCAAGCCCTGGCAATCCCCAGAGACGCTTTCTGTGCCCAGCCCCAGGGCGGCTGCCTCCTGCAGCCCAGAGGCGACACTGATTTGGGTGGAGTGGGCCGGTGATAGGACAGCCCCTGCCACTGAGTTCTAGGACCCAGGTCTTAACTTTCCTGTGTTCTAGTTCTTATGTATGTCACATCAGAATGATCGCATTTTTTCTGTGAAGATGTCACCAAAAGACCACAGCCTTGTCCCTTCACAGGGAGGAGCCCAGCCAGGCCCGGACACTGCAGGGAGTTCTGGAGCCAGAATTCCAGGGTTCCCATCACGGCCCTGCTGCTTACCAGCTGTGTGCCTTGGGTAAGTAACTTAACTTCTCTGTATCTCATTTCCTCATCCGCAACATGGGTTGATAATAACCCTCTTTCTCGGGGGTTGCTGTGAAGATGCAGTGAGTTCACCTACCTAAAGTACTTAGTGCCTGGCCAGGCAGGGTAGGTGTGACCTCTGCTGCGCGGGTTGATCACGCGCAACTGAAGAGGGAGTCATTCAGAAACCTAAGGTGCAGATGATACGGTCCCTGTCCTCTTTGGCCTTCCTTCCGCTGCCAGCCCAGGGGTGGGAAGCTGCCAGGCAGCCCCTCAGGCCTGGACCCCCAGGGCAGACCCCTACCCCTCCCTTGCGGTGCAGGGCCTTGTTCCTGAACTGAGTCTGCCTGCCCTCACACCCATTGATCGGAGGAGGCAGCCGACCAGACTGGCGCTTTTAACGGCTTTTAAATGTGATGGAGCTCAGCAAGCTCAAGAGTGGAGGCCTGTGGGGGGAGGGAGGGCTTCAAGGTCAGCCAGCAGCAGCTTGACCTTGAAGCCGTCCCCTTCCAGGGAACTGCCCGGGGGCTGCTGAGACTGGGACCAAGAGAAGCCTTTCTCTCTCCTGTCAAGGAAGCCCTGGGGGCCTGAGCTGAGGAGACGGACTGAAAAAAAATAAAAAATCACGGAAGAGGCGTTAAATGGATTAAAGAGGCAGGTGGCCAGAGGGGACGAGGGGCAGAGCCAGTGCCAGACAGCAGCAGCAGAGACCTTCTCCTCCGAGAAGCTGCAAATTGGCTTCTCCTTCCTCATCACTCGCCAAAACAGTCCCCGGAGCAGACAAGCTGGGAAGATAAACGACTTCACTCCATCCCGGCTCCCTCTCCCAGGATCCTCAGCAGGACAGCTCTGCTTCCTTTGTCCTGCAGATTAATAAGAAGCAAGGGCGGCTCGCAGAGAGGGCCCCAACACCAGCTCCCCAACCCAGAGCAGGGCAACCAAGTGGCGGGGAACAGCGGGGACCTTACACATGGGCCACCGGTCAGGCAGCCCCACCCAACACTCCCTAGACAGGACAAGAATGACCCGGGGTAGCCCGGTGTGGTGGCACATGCCTGCAATCATAGCGGCTCAGGAGGCTGAGGCAGAAGGATTACAGGTTCAAAGCCAGCCTCAGCAATTTAGTGAGGCTGTCAGCAACCTAGTGAGACCCTGTCACCAAAAAAAAAAAAAAAAAAAGGCTGGGAATGTGGCTCAGTGGTAAGTCCAAGGAGAGCTCAGCACCTTCACTGCTCCCCTGGGCCCTACCACAGCCCTGAGTGGCAGCTGGCTCCTGTGGGCAAGATGGCTCTTTTGTCTCTTTCCAGTGGCTGCTGGGGTGGTGGATGGCCACCGTGTGCTGAGGCCTGGCAGCTCACACAGTGGTTCTACTCCCATGATCCTCTGCAACTAGGAAACCGAAGCCCAGGGGGCAGCATGGCCTTCCTAGCCTGCTGGGCTGGTAGGTGGGGAACTGGAGTTCACGTCTGAATTCTGGCTCCAGACTTGGGCACAGCAGAGCCTACGCTGGGAGAAGTGTTATGGGACAGCCCAGCCACCAAGGGGACCCTAGGGAGAGCAAGAGCAGTGGGCGGCCCCTTCCCAACTTCTCTTCTGCCCAGAGCCTGGGCTGTGGCCAGGGTGCAGTGGAGAAGGCCAGGCCCCTTCCAGCACACATTCCCTGCCCCAGCTCCAAGAAGTCATGGGAAACACTGGGCTCAGGGTGTCCCCAGAGTCCACCCACCCCAGCCAGGCCCATGGGGATGAGGGGATTCCAGACCCATTGACAGAGCCCTGAGCTGGGAACCAGGTGGCCTTATTCCAGGCCTCCCCTGCCATGAGCCAGGCGAGGGCCCTGGACAAGTCCCTGTCCCTCTCTTAGTTTCCACATCTGTGAGGTAGGAGGTCAGGCATCAGAACTAGACAGTTCCTCTAGCTCACGCCCTGGAGGACCTGGCCACCCACTCACTCCAGGTAGCTGGGGAAGCCAGAGCTGAGCTATGGCCCTCAGCGTGGGAATCCCAGGACCGGGGCTGCTGAATTCCAAACTTCCTGCGGCACAGCCCAGACTTTCCCACAGGACGGCCCAGCCCCCAGAACAGCCCCTGCTGTTCCCACTGCAGCCCTCCAAGGGGAAACCACAATGCGTGTAGAAGCAAGGCAGAAAGTAAACATGTCCCCAGGACCTCGAGGCCCTGGGCCCAGCCTGGGGCAGCCCTGGGGAAGGCAGCTCTGACCAGAGCAGATTCCTGCCGAGCCTGTCTGGACGGGCCTGAGGCCCAAGGGACCAGCCAGCACTCCCTGCACTGCTGCTCAGATCTGAGAAAATGCTCTGCTTCCTGCTAAGAAGAGCCAGGAGGTGGGGGATGGCTGCCTGGGCACCAGGAGATGGGGCCATCTTATTCTGGTCTTGTCCTCCCCCAGGTTTGCCCTATCTCCTGGGCCTCAGGGTTCCTACCTTGACATGCCCACAGGGCGTCAGCTGCTCTCTAAGGTCCTTTCCAAGTGCTGAGAGTCTGACCCTAGAATATGCCCAAGGCAGCAAGCAGGCTCAGGGACAAGAGCTGGGAAGGGAGACCAGGTCTAACAGGAAGGACCAGGTCTAAGGGGGGGGGGGCGCTTTAGTCCTGGCCTCCCCTCCCCCTCCACATACTGTCTTACAGCTGAGGGGAGGGAGGCTTCTCCAAGCCAGAGCTGGACAGCAAGGCCAAATGGCTTCGGGTTCTGAGCCTAGGGCCTTGATAAGGCCCAGGCAGCCACAGCAAGTGCAGGCCAGGCTGGAGTGGGGCACCATGGCATGGGCCAGTCCTTCCTGGCCCTCTTCTCCCTCCCACCCCATGCTTTCCCCAGGACCCAAGCAGCAGCCTTCTGGCAGGTGGAGAGGAAGCAAGTGTGGTGGGGGACCAGGGACACGCAGACCTGCAGGACAGGTTCCTCTCTTCCTCTGCCCTCTTTATGATGGCCTCTGCCCAAAGATGCAGGTTTCTTTTTCTTTTTTGAGGGGTGGGAAATGTACCAGGGATTTGACTCAGGGGCACTTCAACCACTGAGCCCCATCCCCAGCCCTATTTTGTGTTTTATTTAGAGACAGGGTCTCACTGAGTTGCTTAGGGTCTCACTTTTGTTGAGGCTGGCTTTGAACTCACAATCCTCCTGCCTCTGCCTCCCAAGCCACCAGGATAACAGGGGTGCGCCACCGCGCCTGGCAGGTCCTTATTTCTACTCTCCCTGAAGTGGGTTCCTTGTCATCTGCACCCACATGCTGTACTCTGAGAAGAGGAGTGAAGCCTCTCTCCCATGGTACCATGTTCCCCCCACAACTCGAATCCCCACGGCTGGGCTCCATGGCACCCATGCCTTCTACCCCTGCTCTTCTCTGGGTACAGGGCTTGGACACATGTCCCCAAGAATGGTCAAGGGTCAATCATACCTCAGACAGATCCAGGCCACCCCATCCCTCAATCCAGGCCGCTCCCCCGAAGGACTGTAAAATCATCCCGCTTCTCCCGTAGCAAAAGATCCTCTGTGGACATCAATGACACATGTTCCCCTCTAAAAAGGCTCCTAGGAAGGGTTTCACCTCAGGCTCCCCCTCAGCAGGACCCTTTGGGTTTCAGAGACAGAAGAAAAAGACACCACAGCATGTGGACAGGATGGACCCCTGCCACTTGCCAGGTTCCCTGGGAGAACTCCAGGACCAGGAGCAGGGCCTAGCCTCCTCTTTGCTGTTGACTTCTGGGTGGTTTGCAAGATGCGCCTTCTCTGAGATCACACACCTGTCTGAGCCTAGGCGTGGACTGATCTTCCGTGGGCTGTGGGATCTCCCCCCACCCACCACCACTGTGGCTGGGGCTGATGACTCCCTGGCATCTCCTCCTGCCCACCACCCCTCCCCACAGCCCGCAGCACCCCTTGGCTCCAAGGGCACAGGCCCAGGAATCAAGCCCTACAGCAGCCCACATGGACACACGGACACACGGACACAAGACCACACTGCCACAGGACTCTAGTGGAGAGCCCTTCTCTCCGCTGAGCAGGCTAAAGCCTTAATCCCTTTACACAAAGCCCACAGAATCCCTCCTCCTCCCGGGAAGGAGGTTGGGGTGACAATTGGCTTATTCCACTCATCCAGGGAGGCCCGCTCCCTCAAGGACCCATACCCCCCTCACTGCACAGAGTGAGCCACCAGCTCACTCAGCCCGCACACATGTCCCCAGCTACCCCACCCCGAAGCTTCAGGAACCCCTGAGATCCAGAGGTATGGAGACTTCGTGGTCCTCCCTGCCCCCTCCCAGATAAACTGCTGGCTGCGACAGGCAGGTCTGGGCTGCCAGGTTCCCATGTTGACTTGATGTCACTGATCCCAGGGAGGACACTGAGGGAACGAGAGAGACAGGACACCACTCAGGATAGGATAGAACAGGGGTGGAGGGCATTTCTCTGCATTCCCTTCACTTGATTTCCAGAGGCCTAGCAGGGCCCCTCCTGGCCAGAAGAAAGATGGGGGGAAATTTCCCTCCAAAAAAACGTCAGAGCAGTGGGAGCCAGGGTCCCCTCAGAAGAAGAGGCAGTTAATGGTGGAACCAGAGTCAGGACACGTTGCTGGCACCCACAAAAGCTCATGGCTCTGTGTCCACCCATGTGTGTGTGCACGGAGACCAAGGACAGAGCTGGTGTCTCTAGGGGAGGCAGGTAGGGGCACGAGAACAGGGCCACTCGGACTTGTCAACCACAAGCCACCTCATTCTGAATAACCCCAAATTGAAAGCAACCCTGGTGTCACCGACAGGTGCCTAGATACTCTGCAGTGAGGGACTGCAGAGTGGATGTCCTTGGGATGACCCAGGTGCCCAGCCCCCACGTGGAAGGTAAGATACAGGCAAAAGTGAGTATGAAGTATGTTCTGGAAGAGGAACAAGTGGGCCTAATGAGAAGAGCTGGGGGGTGATGTAGGACATTGGAGAGTAGGGAAGACGTCCCCCTGCCCCAGGTAGCAGCCTGGGTGTAGACAGGGAGATGGGCAGCCCTGCCATGCTCCTGGAATGAACGGAAGAGGGTAGATGGGACTAGATCACCAAGGGCCTGGAAGTGACTGATGGGGGTTTCATCCTGGGTCTTGGCCCCTGGGGCTCATGAGAGGGTGGGTACAAGAGCACGATTATCCAGACTGATTCCAGATGCTCACCTGGGAAGGCCGAGTCTCCCCACCTGGCTTCCACCATTTGAACTCCCTTCCTTAGGGATCCAAAGACTATTCCCATCCAAGAGACCTTCCCAAAGTGAGAACTCTGTGTGCAGCTCAAACCTTGATGGTTCTAGATCCTCACAGAGACCTGAAACTCCAAGGCGAGGGGCGAGATGGGTATTGGGGCAGGCGTAGGGATGGGCCAGAAGCGGGTATTGTCTAGCATCTGCTGTGTCCGACACCACACTAAGTGTTCTATGTGCACTGATTTGTTTTCTGTTTGTGACGACTCTGTGAAGGAGGTATCATTTTCATTTTGTAGGGGAAGAGACTAAGGTTTGTGCAGACTGATTTCTTCAAAAGGCGAGTGAGTCTGAACAGCACGCCTGCACCTTTCCTGTTGCCCCAGGACAGGACGGCCTAGTGGGGGACCAGCACTCTTCTTGGCCCTTCTCCTGTGACCCTAAGGCTCCCGATGCCTCCCCTGTAGAACTGCCCCTGTGGGTCCCTTCTGGAGTTTCCAGACAGAAGCTGCAGGATTGCAGGTACTTTTCAAAGTACCCCAGAAGCCAGGCATGGTGGTGCACACCTGCAATCCCATCGGCTTGGGAGACTGAGGCAGGAGGATCTCAAGTTCAAGGCCAGTCTGGGAAAATCAGTGAGAACTCACCTCAAAATAAAACAAAAATGGCTGGGGATGTAGCTGAGTGGTAGGGCACTTGTCTAGCATGTGCAAGGCCCTAGGTTTGATCGCCAGCATTGAAAAAACAAACAAACAAAAACACTCTAGGACTTCACGAAGGCTGCTAGCAAATTCTTGCAGGAGCTCTGTAAGCACCTCTGCTCCCTGACACCTGTTACCCAGAGCTGGTGTTCCTCAGAGCTCCACCACTGCCCTCTCCTCACCAGCTCTTCCTGCCTCACCCACAACCCTGACCCCAAAGCTAGCCAAGTTTCTTCTCCAAACTCTGCCTCAGGTTTCTCCAACGGTGGCCCTAGGAAATGCAGACCCATTCTGCCTGGCCTGCGGCAGTTACAGAGTTCTGGAAATCAGCAGATTTCCAGAGTAAGTCAGGAGGGAGTTCACTTCCTGACCATTTTGGAAGCTGTTCACTTAGAATGTATGCCCTTTTTTTTTTTTTTTTTAAACAAGGGATTGAATCCAGGGGCACTTAACCACTGAGCCACACCCCAGCCTTTGTTTATATTTTATTTAGAGACAGGGTCTCCCTCAGTTGCTAAGTGCTCACTAAGTTACTAAGGCTGGCTTTGAACTCTTGGTCCTCTTGCTTCAGCCTCCCAAGCTGCTGAGATTACAGGCGTGCACCACCATGCCCAGCGCATGTCCTCTTTTGTATATATACTTCAATTTAACAATTTTTTTTTTTTTAAATTAACAGATTCCAGGTCAAAATCTCCATTTCCACCTTCTGTTGAGCACTTGGGAGGCCTGTACTGCTGGTCCTTCTTTCTAACCCAGCTTTGGTGAGCAGCTGCCTGGTTGCATTCGGACACAGTCTCCCTGACTCTCGTACTCACTGGTCACCCCCCTCTTTGGGGTGCCTTCCTGGCCCCTAGTTACAGGCATTCTAGCCAGTTCTCTTTGCTTTCTCCAAGTGTTTTCTTCCTACTCCCTCCTCTGCTGTCCCCCAAACTCCTCCCCGCCCAGGATCCCAGTCCCAGAGAATTCATCCCAGTGCCCGGATCATCCAAGGCAAGACCTGGGGTCTCTGGGACTCCTGCCTCCCAGACCTACGATTCACCACCAGCCTATGGATTCTGCACATCTGCCCACTGCACTCCACCACCACCACCACCACCACCACGCTGCTGGCCAAGCCACGTAATCGCAGGCTAGCACACCGCAGCCTCATTCCTGGTCTGTCTGCCTCCATCCCTGCCCCTCCGACTTGTGGAAGCCTCTGTAAAATGCAATGTGATTATGTCACTTCCTGCTTTGACCCCTTCAATGACTTTCCATTTTTAGCGGAGGAAAAATCCAAATTCCTTACAAGGAAAAAAATCAAAACTCCTTACAAGGCCCTGGGACCAGGTCAGCCTCCCTCCCCAGCCTCCTCACCTCCCCTGATCCTCTCTCCAGCCCCTGCACTCTGACCTTTTATCAGTTCATTCAGCTCTGCCTTCCACGCCTCTTGGCTTTTGTAAACAGGTGCTGTGACTTTTACACAGCAGGCTGGCCCATCTCCCGTGTGCGGCTTGATGGATTTCACAAACGTAAACCTCCCTGTCACCACTACTCAGACTGAGACAGAGAACCCACCAGACCTTTGGGTCTGCTTTATTTTTCCTTCTGGCCATGCCCAGCCTTTATTCCTTAAATCCACTGCACCATAAGTTTTACTACACGTTTGTCCTTTTCCTGACCCACCTATAAATGAAACCACACAGTGTATGTTCTTTTGTGTTCAATTTTTTTTTCACTTGAGATTACGTCTTTAAAATTAATCCACAGGGTTGCATATATTAATGATTTGTTCAGTCTCATTGCTGCCTACTGTTGGTGGGCATTTGAGCAGTATTATGGACTGAATTGTGTCGCCTCACAATTTGTAGAATTTAGATAGTTTGTTTTTTTTTTTTTTTTTGTACTGAGGATTGAACCCAGGAGCACTTAACCACTGAGCCACATCCCCAGGCCTTTTTTTGTATTTTATTTTTAGAGACAGGGACTGAGTTACTTAGGGCCTCAGTAAGTTGCTGGGGCTGGCTTTGAACTGCGGTCCTCCTGCCTCAGCCTCCCGAGCGCTGGGATTCCAGGTGTGCACCACCGCGCCCCGGTTGGAAGGAAGCTTTAACCCCCATCTGACTGTGTTTGAAGACAGGGCCTTCAAGGGGGCAGTGAAGCTGAAATAGGTCCTGGGAGTGGGGCCCTATCCCAATAGCTCTGGTGCCCTTATAAGAAGAGGAAAAGGCACAAGAGTATGAGCAGACAGAGTAGGGACACGCGAGGACATGTGAGAAGCTAGCCGTGTCCCAGAAGGAAAAGAGGCCTCATGAGAAACCAGTCTGGCCACCACCTTGACCTTGGACTTCTGGCCTCCAGAGCTGTGAGAACGTGAAGTCTGCTGTCGAAGCCACCGTCTGTGGCATTCTGTGGAGGTCCCTGAGCAGACTGATACAGGAGACCTCCACAAGTAAAGTTGCTATAAGTATTCTTCTCCATGACTTTTGGTGGACATTAGCACTTATTCCTGTTGGATATGTCCCCAGGAGTGGGCCACAGGAGGAGAGAGGTATTGATAGAAGGAGACAGAGTTATTTTTCTAATTTTTTTTTTTATGGCACCAAAGATTGAGCCCAGGATTTCAAACCTTCTAGGTAAGTGCTCTACCACTAAGCTACCTCCCCACTCCTTTTTATTTTTTGTTTTGAGACAGGGTCTCACTGAGTTGCCCAGGCTGGCCTCTAACTTGTGATCCTCCTGCCTTAGCTTCCTGAGTGACTGGGCTTCAGGTGTGTGCCACCATGCCACAGAGAGGGAGTTGTTTTTATCTGAACCACTTGAGGGTAAAAAAAGCAGCGACAGGGCTGGGGATGTGGCTCAAGCGGTAGCGCGCTCGCCTGGCATGCGTGCGGCCCGGGTTCGATCCTCAGCACCACATACCAACAAAGATGTTGTGTCCGCCGAGAACTAAAAAATAAATATTAAAAATTCTCTCTCTCTCTCTCCCCTCTCTCACTCTCTCTTTTAAAAAAAAAAAAAAAAAGCAGCGACACTATCCCACAAAACCACACATTACAACCAATGAAATCAGGACACTATGTTCCGAACATCTAATCCACACACACCATTCCAGTTTCACCATAATGTCCTTTATATCGGAAGGGTCAGAAAGTCAGGCATGGTGCTGCATGCCTGTAACTCCAGTGACTCTGGAGGCTGAGGCAGGAGGATGGCAAATTCAAGGTCAGCCTCAGCAATTTAGCAAGACCCTGTCTCAGAATGAAAAATCAAGGGCTGGAGATGTAGCTCAGTGTTAGAACACTCCTGGGTTCAATCCCCAGTACCACAAGCAAGAGAGAGAGAGAGAGAGAGAGAGAAGGAAAAGAGGAAGAGGGGAGAAAAAGAGAAAGAGAAGAAAAGATCCAGTTCCTGATCACCTGTTCAGTTAGCCATCGAGTCTTTTCAGCTGCCTGTAGTCCAGGAGGATCCATGGGTCTTTACTTTCAAGCCTTGACCCTTGTAAAGCTTACAGGCTGATTATTCTGTAGAATTCCCCTCCATGTGGGTTTATCTGATCCTACACGCTGGGGCAGGAGCGTAAGGGAGTGACTCTGGGTCCTCATTGCATCCTATCAGGTTATACGTGTGAATTTTCCCCACCACCGGTGATACTCACTCTTATCCTTCGGTTTAGATGGGGTACACCAGGTTTCACTACTGCTGATAATTGAGCATATTGTACTCTTTAATTTATAAGTAATTAATAAATATCTTGTAAGGAGAGAGTTTGAGGCTGTGTCTCAGTATCCTGTGCCTCATCCAGCTCTCACCTAACAAGCCTGAACAGCCATTAATGATTTTTGCCTGAATCAGATATTTCTATGACAATTGCAAAAATCTGATTTTTCTAATTCCATTATTCTGTTCACATTTATTAGTTCACGTTGTTCTCTAAGTAAGAGCTTTTTCTTCTATCTGTTTACTCACTTACTTGGAAGGATATTGACTCATAAATCATTATTTATTTTGATGCTCAAATGGTCCCAGATTTGATCACTGGGAGCCCCATTCAGATTGGCTCTTGTGTCTTTTTCTTAGTTTTAAATTTTTAGTTTTTAAAGTCATAAAATAGACATAACATAAAATTTACCATCTTAATCATGTTAGCGTCTGGTTCAGTGGTGTTAAGGACATTGACGTTGTAGTATAGACACCACCATTCATCTCAAGAATGCTTCATCTTGAAAACTTGACAACTCTGTGTCTGGTCAACAATGATTCTCTCTCCCCTCTCCCCAGGTCCTGGTGAGCCTCACACTATTTTCTATGTCTGTGAATCTGACTACTCTAGGTTTGTCATATAAGTGGGATCACACAGTGCTTGTCCCCTTTCGACCATCTTATTTCACTTTGCATAAGTTCATTCATGTTGTAGCATGTGTTAGAATTTCTTTCCTTTTCAGGGCACCTGGCATTGTATTGTATGTCTATACCTTATTTTGCTTATCCGTTCATCCATCCTTGATGGGGACACTTGAGTTGCTTCCACAATTTGTCTATTGCCCAGGGACGCCCACCAGGCCACCAGGAGCTGGCCCACACAGGCTCTGCACCTCCAAGGAGGAGCTACTGCTGGAGCTACTGGGAGTGGCAGGAAGTGGCCATGCTGCCCTGGATCCATCCAGCATTTGAACCCTGTCCAGCGACTGTAGACCTGGTAGGATCTTACAAGATGCTGGGGCCTCAGTCTCTCTCAACTTGCTAGTGGGACCCAGATGGGCCTACCCTAGGAAGTCAGGCTGCAAATTGGAGGAGATTCATAATTGATGCAGATGCTCTTAGCTAAGTACAGCCTCCTGGCTCCCAGTGCATTTAAGCTACACTTTATAAGTCCAAATAGTTTTTGAGGTTTCCCTTTTATCGCAGCCACTGGATTATGAAAGGGTTTTCTGGCTACTGTGATGTCCAGGCCCCTCTCTACCACCAAGGACACCTGGGAGGGAGAGGAGCCTCTCTGTACCCAAGAGGCCCTGGCTTAGGTTTTGATCATTTCTGGGTAGCCAGGCCGACTCAGTCCAGTCTCCCTCACGTCTCAGGGGCATGAGCGTCACCGAGGCCTGCCATGAGCAGGGTCTTTGGTGGGGAGGGCATTTGGAAGGACCTTGACCCTCAGTGAACTCATAGGTCATCTATGGTTACACAGCTGTGCCCACAGCAGAAGGCAGGTGCCCAGGACACTGAGAGATGCCTTGGCTTGTCTGAGGCTGACCACTGTGATGGACAGAGAAGGTGAGGATGATGGAGAATCCTTGAAGAAATCTTTTTTTTTTTTTTTTTTTTAAAGAGAGAG